CCAAAAACCTACGTAAGCTTATAGACTCTAAATGACCTAGGTCAAAAGGCTGGATTATGGGATCATTGCAGAAGCACATTGTTGATCAAGAAAAGTCAAAACTCTTATCTGTTTTCTGGAAAAGGAGTGGATTTGAATACTTATGTACCTTCACTGGGGAAAAAAATTAATTGCAACAATTAGACTAACTAAGTAAGTCACAATGGTGTTTTGTAGGTATATTTGTTGTGCTGGACAAAGTATTAGCACAGTCAGTGAGTAAATATATGCATGAAAAGAATAATAAATCTAAATTAGGACCTAAATTTGGAAACTACTTATCCAAATCATGTGACCAAGTATTTATCATCAGTTTTGGAAATTGTTCTAAATTTACTGTAATATGAAAGTTGAAGGACCATATAATTGTGTTACCTTAATATACAACTTTTAAACTTAATGTGGGAGACGGTCCTTTACTGTGAGTTAGGTACTTGCACATTTTCTTAGTTTGAATCTCAGAACTATACATTTCGTATGAATGTCTCCATAAAGTTTTCCAGCCTGAGTTGTGATTACAGGTCTGGGTCATTTAGCACAACAACACAGAGATGGACTTCAGCACCCACAGACCCCAAATCACACTCTGCTGGGACACGGGACAGTAAACATAGCTTACATCATATGTATGTCAACCAATGCAGTCATTGCCTTATAAAATATTGACAGCTGAGACATCTGCAACAGAAAGATGCCCTGTCAGCTTAGAACTGTCTGGTTCATTAACAAGTCTGATCCTTTCAGGAAGACTCTCTTCATCCTCAAAACTGAAGTGATATGGTTGACAGAAACTGAACCACAGCTGCTCCCAAAGCAACTGGACCAAGTCTCATGATGTAATATCTTAGCTCTCATCTGGTGGGGATAAAAAGAGCCTCTTTAAATGATCCATTGCAATATTAGTATTGTAAAACATATATGGGAGCATTTGAAAACATATGTTTTTGATTTATGATAAATACGAAGTCCAGTAATCAACATGGCAAGGTAGGTTTTATTTTACTTTGACGTAGAATTTTTCTACCTGGAAGATTTTTCCCCTGCTTAAGCCACCAGGCTTGAAGGTTCAACAAGAAAGGAGACTGAAGTTTTCTCCCTCCCAAAACAGCACTGCAGCCTCAAAGTTTGCTATAAAATAATGACCTCAACAAATATTCAGTGACACGTGCCAAATCCAATACCTTCAATGAGTTACACTTCTACAAAACAAGTGGACCTTAGTGAAAGTTTCTATCATAAAGGAAAACAGCCTTTAAATCAACTAATTATAAGTCTGAGAAGACATTCAGGAAGTGTAACTTTCACAGTGGCTTGAAAATATGCTCAAAATTTAAATATTTGAAAGCATAATATATGAGTATATACATTGTAATCTACGTTTCTTTTTAACTGTAAGGTATGCTTTTGCAAGAACAATGACATTCTGAGGTATACGACTTAAACCTTGCAGAGTCTGTTTCCACGAACCAGATAAGAGCATGGGATTTCTGCAGTGTAGACCCACACATAGACTCCAAAGCTGGAAACAGAACCACCTCTTACTGTGCTAGTTACTTACTGTACAGTGTACAGAGGTACAGCCCCTGATACAAAGGGTGTAAGATTAAAAACAATTTAAAAAAATAGAGAAAAAGAGATGGTAGAATGCTGGAGCACACACATCCCATTCTTGTGAGCACTGGAGTGTTTTCAGAGAGGGTTTTCTGTTTCAATTAAAAATGAAAAGTTTACACAACTGTGAAAAGTGATGTTCCTGTGGCATAAGAAGAAAGAGGATAATTTCTGAAAATAACGGAAGAAGGAGGGACAACGAGAGTCTGGTGGGACACAACAGTCTTGCCAGGAAAGCTGATGTTAGTTCTTCAATGCATGTTAATAACACGGGGTTTGAAAATCCTCCCTTTAAGGTAAAGCAAATTCCCCACACAACTGTGGAATTTCATTAGCTCTTGAAGCTTATTCTATCTCACCCTCACCCTATCTTCTTGAAATGATATAATATATCTCTTTATTTTACATTATCTGGATTATGAACTATAGTTGTTAACAGTTGTTTTCTCTTTCACATATCACTGTCTCTGTTTTAACAGAACTGTTCCTTGTTGTTCTATGTTTGGTTTTATGTCACCTTTCATAGAGCTCCCTTTGCTTTATCCATTTCCAAATCTCAATTTATTAAATTTCCCTAAAAGTCTCCTAAAACATTAAAGCAATAGCATCAAACACTAACTTTCAATGGAGTTGGGCCAGATAGTAATCATATACATCTGTCAGTAATAAGGAGACATAGCTTTGGGCAAAAAATTTAACACTGACCTCAAAGAACTTGAAATATCTAAAATAAATTTGAACTCTGCATAGAGTTATGTATTTAATAGTATTTGATATGGCCCTAGAGTAAAAAAAAAGTTCAAGATGGGGAACTAGGCTATACTGACATGTCTTCCAGTGCCTTCCTGTGTAACTTGTCTTCCTATGTTTAACAAATCTGAAAAACTTCAGTAAGTCAGATGTCCCAAAATATTTGTTTAATGAGGAATGTTATTTCCCATTTGCTGAGATCACTTTATGAGGACCATAACTACACATGAAGAAGCCCACATTTCAGCAGTGGAAATGATCAGAAAATAATTATACCATTATTGTGTGTTTTTCTCTAAACATGAGGAAAACTAGCATTTCCCTGGGTAAACTGTCATGTCATAAAATGTCTGAAGCTGGTACACTGGAAAGTATGCACTCTTCACTTAGAAGAAGATAGAACATGTGATCTTGTAAAATAATAACAGAGATGTAAGTGTATTTGTAAGACTTGTTTAGAAACCCACAGACACACTGTCATGAAAGTGTGACTTATTTATTTTTTACTTACAACAACAGCTTTGTGAGACAAAAGGAGAACAAAGCCATCATGTCAAACAATGTTTGTAGTCAGACCTTGTGAAAGACTGGAATGGAACTTCCAGTTATTTTCATTTAACCTGGATGTCTGCAACTGCAATTCTTTTACACTTGAAATTTTTTTCCATGCAGTGCATTAAGTTATTGTATTTCAACCTTTTTTATAATGAATACTCTGATGTATATGAAAGAATATTAATTATGCTGACAAACCACTGATTATTCATGAAAGAAAAAATGTGAAGACAGATATAATGGAAGCTCATATATACACTGAAATATTTCTAACCTGGTCAAGACTTACATCTCTGGGTAGAAGAAGCACAAAATTTAGTAAATTTCATATAACTGTAACACAAAAAAAGAAGTGAACCATATGCTACAACAAAATAAGGATCAGTGCCTGTTAACTATTTCCAAAATCATCTTCTTTTCCAAAAAAAAAACAACCATAACTTTCAAAAATCATTTTCAAGAAGAAAAATATACTGATAGACAGTTGAATACTGAGTTAACCAACATTTCCCTGAATTGTTCTTTTTCTTTTTTTTTCTTTTTTTTTAATTTGAGGGGGAGGTAGGGTGGAGTGCGTAGTGGGGTGGGGTGGAGAGGAGGAGTGGAGCAGGGCAGAGGCTTGAGAGGTATATTTCCATATCGAATAGCTGAGTTTTTAATGCATGATATAGAGATGTGAATTGTATACACAACAGTGGATGATAACCATTTAATGACAACAAACAGTATTGGTTAAAAAAAAAAAGAAGTGCAATTAATTCACACTTTCATAAACTGCCTAGGAGTTATACATTTATCTAAGCCATGAAGATTTGAAATCACTTAACTTTCTACTTATCTTTTCTTCCTGTTATGACAGACTTTTAAACACAATATGTTAACTTTTGTAGATAACAGAGAGAACATTGACATGTTTAGTACAACAGATCTTAATTTGGTCCTTTACAGTATTAAAAAGTTTGGGCTCTTTACAAGATCCTTAATTATATCCCTTGACAGTATAGCTATCAAGTGTGGACTTGACTGAGACTATCCAACTCAGTTCAATTTAGATATTTGAGGGTGGATATGCCATAAGTACATAGATAGCTAACTCCTGGCTGTGTAAGAATCCCTGATGCTTTCTTATTACTCATTTAATCTTTCAAGACAGCCTTTCTCATCTACTCTCTTTTTTCTTTCCAGATAAAGATCTTCAAGTATCAATCTATTTCTTTTGATATGCCTCACTTTCTGTCACCCCATGAAAAAATACATCCTCTCTCTCTTCAATCAAACACTAGTCTCCCCCTAACAACCAATTTAATATTCTGGCCACTCGTATTGAAACAGCACCCCTACTCACCCTTTTCCCCCCACACACCAGAACTGCTAATCCTGAGAAAGCAACTATCCAAATCCCACCAGCCTCCGAGAGGATAACATTCTAGATGCCAGTCACAGTCCTCAGCCTGATGGTAGCCTGGAAAGCTGCATGCATATTCTTGACTCACATTTCAAAAAGCCCTTTCTATCTCGTTTTAATGCCATGAGATTTTGAAGCCTTGCATCTACGAGTTCCAGCTGGTGCAGGAATGACGCTCCTTATTCAGAATTAAGTTTTACCGTAATGTACTTTTGCTTTCCAGCTGCTGTGATTCCTCAAATACACATATAAAGGGAAAAGTGTGCTTGCCTTTCCTCCTGCCTTCTCACAGTCCTGCATGCTTCTAACAGTTGGTTAGGGGGGGGGTGGGGTGTTTTTGTTTTGGTTTTTTTTTTTTTTGGTGGGGTTTTTTTTTTTTTTTTTTTTTTTTTTTTTTTTTTTTGCAAGCTTCGGAGAACTACCGGATCGGAAATAACTGCAGCCATTCATAAGATGCTGCTTAAAATTCGAATCCCTCCAGAGAGGCGTTCCAGGCTGGGACACTCGCCTCTGCCCCCAGCCCTCTCCTGCCGGGCTGCGCGGGCTCCCTTGCTGCAGTGCAGGCTGGCAGTTCACTCCACTCGAACTTTCAATGCAGAAATTCGGCACGATGCAGTCAGACAGACAAAGCAGCACTTACCTTAATTGAAATCTTTTCTCTGGTAATGCTGGAGCATCAGTCCAATCAACAGTGATCTGAGGGGGAATCCTAAGTTTCAATCAACACCCTCCGGATAGCTGCATGCTGCTCTGCCTTTTTTTCGTTGAACTCCTCACTGTCTAGAGGAGAGAGAGAGAGAGATCAGCTGAAATCCTCAGAGGCTGCTAGGGAGTGAGAGAAGAGGCACCAAAGCAATGTTTCTTAACAGGCGATTCTCAGCAAGCGTGCTCAGGTCTGAGGGATCCTGTAACTGCTGTGATAGGCTCCTGTCATGTCCCCTGAGCCGTGAGATGATCATTGACCTGATTAGCTCTGAACACTCCCTACATGCAGAGAAAGCGCTGAGAGGATTGGCGGGTCGCGAGGGAATTGGGAAAGGCACCAGGGCCGCTTGGGAATCTTCATTCTTCCAGACTAATGGATGTGCTGCAGCTGAGGCTGTAATTTGCGAAGAGGTTATGCACAATGTTAACCATCTGAGGACTTAAACAAATGTGCTTTTGCATGCTGTTTCTCAAGGTGCACCGGCATTCAACGGAGGGTAAAGCTGAGTAATTAGAGGCTGATGTAGCTGTTCTGTCATACAAGGCTCACTGTATGAGGTATCCTGTAAGCTGAGAGATAAAGTGGATTCATACATTTGTCTCTGACCCCGGAGACAATAGCAGTTAATGGGTAGAATAAGTGAAATTAGCATAGTGGGCTCATGTTGGCCCCCAGATGGCAATCAATCACCATGGAAAGAAAAAGAACAACAAAACCCAAACAGACCAGAATTATTTAACAAGTGTATGTATGTGGCAATTAAATAAAATGTAGAAAAAGAACTCCAAACTAGTACAGAAAGGACTCTTCAACATGGGGATAAAATCAGTAGCAAAGCACAACAACACAACACACAAGTTCTTCCCTCTTTTACAGCAGAGGGGGAAAACCAACCAGAAATGTGTTTAAAGAATCTAGCTTGCTTTTCACTTATACTGGTACAAATAAATCTATTAAAGATGACAGTTTAAATTTAGATGGGAAAAGAAAAAGTAGAGTGAAAGAAGAGTGAGGTGTATTCATTATTTTTGTTTCAAGGGTATTAGAGAAACCAGACTCTTGTGTACCAACTATTCAGGCTTACATGGTCAAAGTGTGTCACCTTTTATGAATGTCCTCATCTTTTTTTCTTGTTCTTGGATGACAATATGGCACTAGCCAATTAACTCAATTTTCCGTTCATATTTATCTATGGAAATACCAACTCTAACATATTTAGAAATGCTGATCTGAAGCACCAATACAAAAGGGAAAATGGATATTTTGGTAGCAACTAAAGAAGAAGATTTGGAACCTATAGTAGCATTGCTAGTTCATATGTAGTTAGCATAAGTTACTCTATGAGTGCTGAAACAAAGCTAATTTTAAACATATACTAGAATTCTTAATCACTTTATTTTTCGTCAGGTTTTATACAGTTTTCAGGAAAATTTATGTAATTGTATTTTAGTTAGATAAGCAGTCAAGAAAGCAAATTTTAAGTTGTTAAGCAAACGGCAAAGAAAATGCATTACACATTTACTTTCTGAAGGCATTCACTTCAGAAATCTCGTTAATGCAGAGAAAAGAGTATCATGTGATTTAGATCGCTCAGAAGTAACCATGAAGGTTTGAATCTCCAATTTATTTAGCAAGACAGAAGACAATGATTTCTCACCCTAACTATGACACCTAAGAAACAATAATCTAAGTGCAATAATTCTACATGCCCCAATTTCCCACTACACAATCAGTAGTAAGAGATCAATTTTTCTCCCCTAGCAGTGGTAACCATATAATTTTCAGGATCCTCCTCTAGAAGTGCCTCTCTCTTCCACAGAACAAAAGTTCCTCTATGTGCAGAATCTGGATAATAAGATTGTCTTTGGCAATATTTCATATTCAGACAGTAAACCTTTTACAACACAGGTTATCTTTTAGTGTGATTTATTGAATATCTATCAGTCAGGGATTCACATTTGCCCTGGGACTAATGGTAAGAAACTAATAATTAATCAAATAATTAATTAAATAAGAAGGTTTTTACATACTTTATTATGAAGCATAAACACAATCTTGATCTTGACTAAAGTGTTTCATGTGTCAAGACTACAGTGATTTGCTGCTACAACCCTCACTGAAAAATAAGCTACTTTCCTTACTCATACATTTGTACCAGGGAATGGGTGGCAAGTCATCCCAAAACTTACAATCTCAGATGTTCTGACATGGCATCCTTTGTGAAACATGTAATCCACAGATACCCATTATATCATTCATGATTTCAAATACCAGGAAAGAAATTAAATATGAAAAAGACCTTATTAAGACTATTTATTTGCCATTCTTGTAAGCTTCCAATTTCAGCTTTCTTGCTGTTTTATTTAGTTGACTCTCAACTCTCACCAGTCCTGGGATTTTCAGCACTTCTATTAAACTGATGTTCTACAGCCTATGAGATCTGCATATCAGGAATACTTTTCCTGTTACCATCTCCTTTTCAAATATATTTCAGTAATTTTATACTAAAAGTTTCACTTTAATAATATAAAAGGTAATCTTTCACACTTAATGTTCTGATTTTCTTTTTAAGGTTTAAAAGTCAACATTCATTAGAAGTTCATACTGTGTGACTGAATTATTTTAATTGTTTCTCACCACAAATAAAAGTCTGTAAAAGAAAACAGCAGATCCAGAGGAGGGACTGAAGCATGAAGGAAAAAAATTTGAAGTGACAACACGATTTAAGTTTGTGCAGAAACAGCTGGGACTTACTGTACTATTAGACAATTGGCATTTTAAATTTAGTGTTAACAAAAGGAAACAATAATTTGAATCACTCATAAATCTTGTTACAGTCTAAATAACTGAAGAAAAGTCTATTGTTTTGGGTCCTGTTCCTAACCCTCAATGTAACTTAAAATTTTGAATGCAATTCCTATCAGTCACCTCAATAAATGGACAAGAATTTGTTCTGCACAAGGAGATCAGTAAAGTAATGTCTTCAATAGGGCATCATATAATTACTTATATGGATAAAAAAAAATTAGAGACCCTTCTTGGCACATCATTCTTATATGAAAGAGTCAATATATTAAACGAACAACCTTTTGAATTCACTGCCCCAAGCCATGGCTACAGAAAGAATTAATATGTAGGCATGTGATAGTATTTTAAAATCATAACAGAATTTAAAATGAATACACAAGAAAAATTTCTTTGTTCAGTATTATCCCTCAAAGAGAAGTAAAAACATGACCTCATGGACAAGATACTAATCATGGGGAAAAAATCCGTGACCAACTAACATAATTGTATAATCCATTGTATTTTTACTGTCAAGGTCATTAGTTACTGATGCTTCATTAGTAATTTTTTAAAAGATTAATAACATTTTTAGAAAGAGCTATAGTTCCCAAACTGGTCATTTGAATCGACTGAATGCCAAAATAAATTCAGAAAATTATAGTAGTGTTAGTTTCTTAATATCCTCATAAAGATCTTTAATTCAGAGACACTACAGCACAATACTTCACCATGCATCTATGGAAATTCAATACAGAATAAAAGGTCATAGATGAACAGTAAGAAAAGTAATGAATTCACCCATATGCCTATATAGTCACAATTTTCTGCTGGTCTAAATTACACATGCAGTCAGGTACATCAGCTTTGTTGATGCTCAGAAACAGAAAGAACTAGAAGTGAATTGCATCTACACCCATAGCTTCAATATAGAGAATTATTCTTTTTCTACAGTTAAAGAGATCCTTTGGTGTTAAAAAGATACTACACAAGATGTACTGAGAGTGCCAATTTGCTCAATAATTTCTTTTTCTCTGATAAGTAATTCATTTTAGTTGGAAAAACAGTAAGTGCAAATAAGGAATGCAAATAGTCTAGGATAGCAGCAAAGCCAGGAGAATAAAAGACTTCATAGAAGAAATGGACTAAAACCATATTAATCTTTCATCTCTCCAGATAAAAATACACAAATAATAAACCACTTAAAGACATTAAAAATGCTTTGAAAAAAACCCCACATTTGAACTTTCACAACCACGTATTTTCTGCATTTTGGCAACCATTTTTTCCCTATGGCATCTGTGAACAGTGAGTCTAGTTAACTCTTAGTAGTGCCTGACAATTCTCATGCACTTTAGCACTGAAATTTTACTCTTATCCTCATTAATTTCAAAAGCACAAGCTGAGCAGATGCAACTCCAAATTCTCATCTGGCTTACATCAGCATAGCTGCATTGATTTAAGTAGAACTGTACAGCAGATTTATTATTAGTGAGATCTCATGTAAAAGCAGTGCAATTTCTCATCAGTGAATACTACAGCCAATCTCAAAGACCAACCTTATCTCCAAACTTTCTGGCCACAGTGAATACAGACAACACAGGAAACTTCTTTGAATCTAGAGTTTAATCTTGAACATTCAGTGCTTTAATACAGCACCTTATTCCACAGGTTCTTGATGTTAAGGTAAAGATGTGATCTGAATGGAAGGAGACAGCTGAATCTCAGTCATACTCAGTAGAAAACTGCTGACTTCATCAGTCTTCTCCTTTTGGTACCACTAGGGGCTCAGAAAAAATCTAAGTGTTTCTCTTATCTGATCACTGTTCTCACTCCCAGTTTAGCAGTAATAATCAGTAGCATACTTTTTACTTAGGCCAGACTTCCAAATATTAAGGAAAGTAGCACAGGATACTTCTGTTAGACATTTCAGATTACGTTATGCAAAGTGCAGTTTGAATTTCATTGTACGCTTTTATTAAGTTAGCCTTGTATACTGAGACATTTCAATGTTAGTGATTTCTGTTTCCTTGGAGGAATTCCCAAAATGTTTGAGATATTTAGGAAGCACAAGTAACCCTGGATTTAAGTAAATGTCCACCTGGATTTAAGTAAAGGTCCACAAAATGCCTAAACAAATGAAAGCAGGTGGTGACTAAATACTCTACAATTCAGTCCTGGAAGCTATTTAAGAACATTATGCTTTGCAAGAGTAGGGAACTTAGAGGTAGAGAGGATACAGAGCCCTGCAAGTGAAAGGAAACACAGAGGGACAATGTTTTTAAGGATATATTCAGATCTAGTCGAGGGAAAAAAAAATAAAGGTAGAAAAAAGATGTGAGATGGAAGCAGGCCACTGCTGTTTTGATTATGCCTCTTCAGTTTTGTTA